CTCTAATAGAAAAGTTGTTGTTGTGTACTGCCTTAGAGACAGTCCAATTTATCTCTGGTATTTTCTTCTACCTCAAAGATAATATTCAAAACTACACATGTGATTGAGGTAGTATGCTTGTAGTTACCTATGTCGCTTCTTGGCCTGTTGCACATAGCAGCAGCTTTTAATATATTTAAGTTTTGCTTAGGCAAATACATTTCCTTGGTCTTGCATATACTGGTGCAAATGTTTTAAAACATCTTTTCTGTTGAAATGGATTTAAAGTTCTAATTCTTGTGAAGTCAGATATTGAATTTTCTTTTGTGTGTGTGTGTGTGTGTGTGTGTGTGTGTGCGTGCGTGCGTGTGTGTTCCTCTTTTACAATACTGTCTTTGTTACATTCAACACCATCATTCTTTATTGAAATTTGGGACAGTGCAGCTCATTTGGTTTAGGGATCATGCTGTTAAAAGTATTACAGAGCCACATCTAAAGAACAGTTACCACTGAATTCCCTGATTTTAGAGTTGTTTTGGATCATATGGCAAATCTTTCACACTTTAGCTTCATATATTTGGAGTCATATGGAGCATACTGTTAAACTGCTGTGAATTCACTGTCTGAATTCAAGTTTAGAAAATTGAGTTCAAGTTTATGAAAAAATACACATGGCTTTAATAACAAAAGCATTTTCTTCAATAAACTATTTTAGGAAGGATAATAAATCACAGTGTAGACAAATTGAGTGTTGTGATTAAGGAGTAAAATACTTTTTAACAGATTGTAGTTGAACGCTTCTTTTTGGCTACAATAAATAAAAGCGTGAGGACTTGGAAATCAACTGATTGACTTGCAGGTTTGAATTCATCATCACTCTGTTGGCAGAGTAGCATTTCAGGTGTTAATTTGTGATTGAACACATTTGAAGTAGTCATTTAGTTGTGTCATTAGTCTATTCATCTGATATAAGTATGCAAAGCTGAAGTAAAAATTCTTTGAAGATAGGGCAAAAGGACTGTAGAATATAAGCCAGACTTAACTCCTACCCTGAAACAGGGTAACAAACTTAGGGGTTGAAACTTACTGAATATTAAAATCTATTTCTGTTTGTTGCTTTGTAAAAATTACATCAGTTGCAAATGGCATTCATAGTATAATTCTACAGGATGCGTAAGACAATTTTATTGTACAAATTTTGAAACTTTCTGCATGTGCAAAAAGCCAAATGTAGTTTATAAAAGGAATTCATACAGATTTCTCAGCTAACATTAGGGACTGTAGTGTGACAGGACAAGGGGTAAGGTTAAAACTTAAACAGGGGAAGTTTAAATTGGCTGTAAGGAAGAAGTTCTTTACTGTAAGGGTGGTGAGGCACTGGAATGGGTTGCTCAAGGAAGCTGTCAATGCTCCATCCCTGGCAGTGTTCAAGGCCAGGTTGGACAGAGCCTTGGGTGGCATGGTTTAGTGTAAGGTGTCCCTGCTCATGGCAGGGGGGTTAGAACTTGATGGTCTTAAGGTCCTTTCCAGCCTATGATTCCAATTCTGTGATTCCACCTGTTGATATCAGGCAGGTTTTGGAGAAATTCCAGCTGTTGTTCACTTTAGATTATGTGCCTTAGCAGGGCTGCCAGTATTATTCTTCAAGGGGAATCCAGAAATGGCTTGGAAAAGGTATCACTGTGGCCTCTTTGGTTTTGTCAAATGTTAATTTTTGTTGTTTTACTTTTGTTTTTAGTGAAATACCCTCTTATATGAAGGTTGTAACTACATTGATTTGAGGTGTGGTTTTTGTTAGAAGCACTAAAACAACTAGTCTGGGGTTTTTAAACTCTTCTTTAAAGCTGTTAAACTCCATAGCCAGATTGGAATGTCAGGTGATTTCAAGAACAAAATGTTTTCAAGCTGTTCCCATTTCTGCGAAAGAACAACACAGGCTATTTGAGAACTGATTGTCTTAGGGTTTTTTTTCTTGTTTAAGTTTCTGAGCTAAACAAGAAGCAGAGTTCAAAGGATGGGTAAAAAGAAAAGCCTGAAATATCTTCTGATAGCTGTGGCAGAAAAAGTGACTTTTACTGTGGGGTCTGAAAAAAACTGCCTCACCTCATCCACATCATGTATTTGACACAGCTGTCTTGCCTTGTGCAGAGTAGAATAGGTCATGTGTCACACCACAGTTCACATAGTTCATGTTGGGACATTTTATTGTAAATCGCTAGTTTTCAGTCAGTGGCTTAAGCTCACCTGTGCAGTAGTGAAATATTACCGTTAGAGCTGTGGGTGCAGCAAGGGTGATCAGTGCTTGTCTTTCCCAAGCCTTGCAGACTTACCTAGCTAAGGGCAAACTTGACACTGACAGTAGCAGCAACAGAAAGATAACGCAAGTAATAGTATTAAGGCTTCATATCTGCATTTCAGGGAAAGAGAAGGTAATTGCAGCCCTACTGAGTTTCACTTTTCATTTTTGAGGTATTTTAAATGCTGATAAGCATTCTCAAATTATGACGATTTTAAAATGAGGATTATAGCAGAATATGTTCTCAGTGTCATATGTTTTATATACATTCTTACACATATTTACATTTTAATACATAGATATGTGAAAAGTTAAATACTAATGAAAATTTAGGTGCAAAGTGGAGATTGTTGTCATCTTGAATAGGCTTGGACAAAATTTTTCATAACTAACTTGGATGGTCATACTAAAGAAAAATCACCATGAAATTGGAAGTGAGTAGTATGAAAATATTTTCTTTCCCATTTCTTACTGATATTTTTTAATAACGTATGATGCAGTACAGTGGTAAATGAACATCACACATTAAGTTCCTGTGCCAGTGTGCCTCCCACCTTATTAAATGGAGGAGCAAAATAACCTATTTTCTGAAAGTAAAACACTGTTAAAATGTGAAAGAGTGGAAATTTGAGATACTGAAACTCGCATGAGGACAGACAGAGTATTTTTAAAACATACTTTAAACAGACTATTAGTGTTTTTTGGTTTTTGTGTTTTTTGGTTTTTTTTGTTTGTTGTTTTTTGTTTGGTTGGCTTTTTGTTGGGTTTTTTTTCCCTGGATGGACTGCAACAATAATACTGTAAATAAAGTCTTTGTTGGTTTACTATCACAGTATGTTAGAGATTGGAAGGGACCTCTGTGTACAAGCTGTTAGCATTTTTTGTCTGCCATGTGTTTTATTGAGACTGAAGTTCATTGCAGTTGAAACACAGAACGAAGCAATAATACTTACAAACTTGTGTTGTTGGCCTGATGTTTTTGTAGCTAGAAGGACCCTCCCTGTCATGTGTCAGAATTGGTCCTGCTACTTGTGATAAGGAAACACTAAGAAGAGTGAATATTTTGGTTACCACGTGGCTTTACCTCTGCCTCTGCAGGAAGCTTATTTTGAAGTTCGTAGTGGTTAGCCCGTCTGCAGAGCGGGTCGTTCGTTCCGAGTCCATCCCAGCAGTAATCATGGCAGAGCCCGGGCGGCTGCGGCGTTCAGGGAGCATCGCCCGCGTCCGTGAGGCGCCCAGCCCGCAGCTCGCCCCGGCTTCCTCTAGCGCGGAGGCGCTTTGTCGCTTCATTAGGGAGAAGTCAGAGACGTGTGAAAAGTAGGGCAGGGGTCGGGGCGGCCTGCCCCGGCCCCGCTGAAATTGAAAGTGACGGACACCTCCCGGCTCGGCCGCTAATTTGCCTCCATGTTAAATGCCTCTGAAGACTAATTAAAATGAAAAGTTCTTGGGTCTCACCGACAGACAGATTGAGTTATTGATGCTGGAAGCGGCCACCAAGAGTAATTGCAGCCCATCCCCGAGCGAACGCCAGTTTTGGCATTCATGAGCAGCGCCAGGCTGACAGGGGTCAGGGGGGTCAAGCCCACCGAAACAAGAGGCCGAGGAAAGGCAAAATAAGTCCTCTGTTCGTCTTTGTGCAACGTCGCTTTTGTTGCAATTAACTATTTAGGTGTTCGAGCTCCTTTTTAGTCCTCTGAGGCCCAATTACGCTTCCCTTGCAAATCGCTGTAGAAAGTTCGTTAAGCAGAATGTGACCACAACTACAAAAGTCTGAAAAAATAACTTATTACTCAGTGTGGCTGTTGTAGCTCTGTGTTATCCATTGGATGTGTAGAACTGCATTTGATTTTGGGAGAAAATGGCATGTGCATATAGTAGCATAATTTTTCAGGAGGGATTAATTGGCACAAAATTTGGGAATCTAGAAGGATATAGGGATTCTGATTTGGAATTATCAGAGATAAATAGTAAATGTTCATTGTTGTGAACTAAGCTTACTGTATTTTCTCTATATATAACATAGTAGTCCCCAGGAAGATGGACCGGAATATAGTTTATGTTAAGTGAGAAATTAATTTTGTCATTCAACTGTTAAATGAGATTGTGTTTTGGGGGTTTGTTATTTTAAGACGTAGTACTATTCTAGAAAACAAAAGTAACATTGTGAGTATGTTAGGCAAATAAACTACTTCGATACAAATTGATCTTTTTTGCTTGACAGGCTGGGGGGGTTTATTGCAGTAAAGCTCTGCAAGTATTTTTCAACTGGTGGCTCAAGATGGTGTTGCTTTTATCACTGCAATATTACGGGAAGTCACCACTGAGTTTAATTTTTAAGAAAAATATAAGTATAAATTTTAGTTGCTGTAAATAGAACAGTTTTCAAACAGATTTACGTGCTAATCTGTCGAATACTTCCTATCATAGCTGTATGTGAATCTAAAATATATGGCTGGCCTAGTCAGCTACTATACCTAATATTTTTGGTAGGAATATAGAAACATTCATATCGGTTGTTACTAAAACGTGTATTTCAGACTAACCCTGCAATTCAGTTGGATGATAAATATGGCTGATGTTTTCAATTACTAATCTTAATGAACATATGCTTTTAAAATTATTTTTTGCATCCACATGGTTATGATAATGAAAACTCTTGAGGTTGGTTGGTTTTGTTCATTATAGAAATGCAGGGAGTTTCTTGACATTTTGTTTTACCTTTCAGGAAACGAAGTTGGAAAAGTTACAAAAGCATCTTTCCAGTCAAGCACCAAATCTTGTATTAGGCTTCACCGAACAGGCTAAGCTTAACATTTGTCAAGCAGAAGGACCAGTTGCCTTGCACAGGAAGGATTAAAAGTGAACAATGACTCAATTGAGAGTTTATGAGCGATTGCTTGGAGCCTATCTCCTGATCATTCTCTGTGTTCAAGGTAAATATGTACTGTTTGAAATAAGTTTATTTTTTTTGTTCTGTAGCGCACTTGTGTGTATAATGGTTTGGGGGGGGGGGTGGATGGTTGGGGTTTTGGTTGGTTTTAAGTTTTTTCTGTTTTGTCTGGGTTTTTTTCTAAATTGTAATGTGCAGTTCTCCATGACTTCTGATGTTCCCAGCAGTCAAGAGATTGTGTGGTCTAACTAACCTAAATAAACTTGTTATGCTTACTCAGTGGGCCAAGGTTAGTGCATGGGATGTTCACAATTGCCTGGGTTTCAGTTACAGGAGGTACTCGTTTGTATGTCTGTCTTTCCAGCCACCAGTTATCAAAACCTTCTGGAAGTCCAGTCATAATTAGAACTTTAACTCCTCTGTCAAATTGAGTTGAATTAAAAAGTGTTGGGAATCAACCAGTGTGACTGACTCATGGTATACCAGGAACTAAAGCTTGAATGTCAAGATTATAACTTGTGGGGGGAAAAATACATTTTTATTAGTATTTCTTTACTACTTACTAGCAACTGTACATTGCAGAATTCTGCAGATTCTGTAATTGAATGCAGTTCAGAGAAGTGTCACTACAGCAAAATGGTATCTAAACTGTTAGTGGTATTGCAGTCTCATGTTTGGGACGGGAACAGGAGTGCTCTGCCTGTCCATCAAACATGTACGTCCATAGTTGGCCCCTGTGTAAGACTTCTTGTTCTCCCAGCTGTGCATCTTGAACATGTTTGAGTACACAGAACTTCCCATGTTTCAGGGGAAATAAACAGTTTGGTACTGCCATTTTAATACTTGAATATAAAGGTTTTATATTCTTTTTCCATACTTACATCAATTTTTGCTTAATGCTTGATTTTATTTTGAGCTCTTCTTTGAGCTTTTTACTTTCAAGAATAACAACTCAATACACCCATTAAATTGGCAGAGGAAGAAGCCTAGTAAGTACTGAGTGACAATCTCTCTGTTCTTTTTCTGTTGTGTACCTACAATTAAAGGATTAAAGGATTTGGCGGAGCTGTCTTTATCGGGACTATGCCTGATACATACCTTGACAAATGATTTTAAGAGCAGACTTGCATCACATATATAATGGACCTGCCCTTTCCAAGCCACTTGATCCTGCCTCTTTCCATGTGCTGGTACTTATCCCCTTATAACCATGTGCCAGGGTGCATTTGGGAACTGTTGCAGCTTCTAACCTGGGTGTGGGGAATCGGTTAGAGCAAGACTGTACCTTTAAATGTAACCCAAACTTTTATTAAGCAGTAGATATAAATGTCACTGAAGATACTTACCTGGAATTGACCAAGGAAGGATGAGCTGTTAACTACACTGAGACCCAAATTAAATGAATAGTGCCTCAGCCCAAGGAAGATCATCTTTAAGCTCTTCCAATTACCATCCCACACACCCATTCACAGCTAAGCTGTTAGGTAACAGAAGTCCTCTCTGTAGATCTGTGCAGAATTCCACTTTGTTAAAGATATTTAAAACTGTTACTCTTCCTCATGTTTCCTATGGGATTCAGTTCAGGAGGCTACCACCAGCACACTGAAGACTTCTGTATCATTGAGCACAATGTACAGAATTGTAAACACTTTTACTCCAAAATTGGACAAGTATTTCTGTATAATTGCCAAGTTATTTGACCACTTTCATCTTTTTAGCCTGTGGGGGCTCAGAATACTGTCTGCTAACTTACACCTACGCGCTTTAAGTGCTGACATTAAGCTTCATTCTGTGTGTTTGTGTGTATGCATATACACATGTATTTCAGGAGTGGGGAAAAGCTTGTGTTTTAGTTTAAGCTCTGCTATTGTAGCAATGATTTCAAGGTTGAAAGCAACAAAACAAACTTAAATCCAGGATTCTTCCATCTTTATTACATTATTTAAGTTGGGGGGGCGAAATTCTCAAGGCCAGTCTCTTTTCCTCTTGTGAACATAAAATTGTTAATTGTCAATAAGTAGTTCAGTCTGTTTAGATAGGAATAGCTTGGTTTGGGTGTAGCTGGAGGTTATAGTACAGGTTTACAAATACTTATGGGTAGCTGTAAGGTGATTAGATTGGTAATGGGCAAAATCACACTAAAGGAAATTTTGGTGAGAAATTAGGAAAGAAGTTTTTCACTGTGAGTGTGGTTAAGCATTAGAACCGGCTGCCTGGAGAGGTGGTGCAATATCTGTCCTTGGAGACAGTAAAAACTTTACCAGATTTACTGTGAACAACCTGGTCTAACTTAGAATTTGCTCCTGTTTTGACCAGGTGTTGGTACCAGGTGGCTACTAGTGGTCTCTTCCACTCAGAAATACTCTTAGACATAGCATTTTGCAGTGGAGCTTGTTCAGCTAGTCTTCCAGAAGTTCTGCTGCTTCTTACAGAAGATGCCAGCTTCTTCCCTTGAAGCGGTTGGGAGTGATAGGCTTTGTTCTTGTACTTAAGTCATGGTTAGCTGTTGGTGTTAGTCAATATTCAGCGTTTTACTCAAAGGCAGTATCAACTGAAGGAACGATTCTTTTTCTCTCTATATAAAAACAGAAACAATAAAATTATTCTGCTCTTATTAGTGACTTAAATTACATTCACTCCTTCCGTGATCACATTTATTAAAAATGCTTCAATAAATAACTTCAAAAGTTTAAAGACTGTGTAAATATTGTTTGCCTGCTTCTAAAGAAGAAGTTGCCTTGTCTTAGGAATATTTCTGACTTTCAAATCAATACTGAGTGAGTTCTGAAAGCCATGGCAAAGTTGAGCTTGCTGAAACCGTGTCCGTTCTTTGGTGCAAGTTGCCTAAGGGCTTGTCTTCATATGCATTCTTGCCCCTCTCTTGTCCATAGATTCATGGAGGAGTTGTGCGGGGGGGGGGGGGGAAGGAAGGAATAAAGTTGATCATCGTCAAATATTTGAACTTCTGTAGGAAAGGAAATCTAAGCTGAAAACTAAGTAATGTAATTGACAGTGGAAAAAGTAGTTTCAACAAGGAAAAATATTTGAAGGATGTTACAAAAATGCATCATAAAGCAACCAGTAGAGGTGGAGAAGAACATGGTATGAGAAATTGAAGAAAATTTGTGGTTTACGGAAGAAGGAGGGAAAAGCAGAGAAACTCCCAGCATGTTTACTTTCAGTGACTGGTGCTGAAGCTTCATGGTTTGCTTGCTTGTTTGGAGGCTTCTTCAAATGGCAGGAATTTCAGGGCTTATCAAGACCTGACAGAATGAAGTAGCAAGCGTGTCTGTGTATGTGCATGTATATATACACACCCCATCTGTTAACAGGTAACTTAAAAAACCAAGTGGCTTCATGCATTGCTTAATGTAAAAATACTCTTGCAACAACAGCAGGAAACAGAGGCAATTCCATGAAGTTCGTGAACAGGCTTTGTTTCTCAGGTCGGTACTATGGAGTCGGGGGACACAATCATTACTCATTTGATTAAACTTTTTCACTTCTGTTGAGAAATGATCAAAAATAAGCTTAGGTAACAGATTGTTAGTTTTAATAACAACTTTTTCAAGAAAAACATTTTTTTTATTTCCTTTCTTGCTGTGGAAGGTCTTTGCAGTATCTCCAGACCTGTGACTTACACTGCATCTTCATCTACCTATGCTTGCTCATCTAAGGCAAGATGTTATCACCTTCAGTTACAGTTGAGGTCTGTGGTAAATGCTTTTGTCTTCCCACTAGAGCAGGTTTTTAGTTCAGAGAATGTTTTACTTCCAAGTAGAGATCATTGGTTTTATAATGTATTGATCAGGATAACTAATCGCTATATGTAACAGAATAGTTAGAGAACACAATGTATACTTAAATGTGTTCTCATAAATTTTGTTCTTTGTTACTGTCAATTCACTATATGGTATAACATTAGATACGTGGTTCATCACCCCTTTCTATGTTCTTTGAAGACACCACAGAAAACTGGTATTTTAATCCTTGTGAATTAGTTGACTAAAAATGTATTAATAACATTCAATATGTATAAGGAAAAGTTTATTAAAAGTTAAATTTGAAAATAATTAGTGTTAACATTAAAAATGGAAATCCTGTAAAAAGTTGGCATTGTCCACTAGTGAACCGAAAAAACCTATTGAGATTTGATTTCACTGTCATACTTACTTTTGTTCAAAGAATTTTATATAGATTTTTTTTTTAATGCATTCTCAGGATTTCAGGTGAAATAGTTAATTTAAACATGTCAACTAATTTGAAATAAAGAGATGTTCTAAAATCTGCAGGAGGAACTTAAGAGTTGTCAGAAGCTGGTTCATTCTCTGAGGACAATATAGTTCAACCAATTAATGGCTGCATCTGTCTTTAAAGCATGGGCAGCAAACATATATCATAAATATTTGTCTGATTCAAATTAATTTAATGGATTACTTGAAGGTTATATAATTTTTATAATTTCACATTTAGCTTTAAATAACTTTATTATTTAAAAATCCGTTCAAATTAGAACATGGTTAATCTTTTTTAAAGTAAAATACAGATAAAATATTCTTGTGTCTGGCTTTTATACTGAACACATACGAACAGAGGAGAGTAGTCTTCAGAAATGACTTTAGGGAAGGGAAGTGGGAGCAGAGTCTGGGTATTGCTTTCTGGGAAGGCAGGGGAGCAGAGGCTGCCTGCCTTTGTTTGAGCACTGCTGTAGCTCATGGGAAGGCTGGAGGGCGGTAGAGAGAGATTTTAACCAAGTAGTCTGGGAACGTACTGTGAGTTTTAGGAACCCGTGCTGCTAGAGGGAGCTAATCTAACATGGCTGGTCTTTGGAGATCCCAGGCATGATATATAAGAAAGCTCTAGATAGAGAATTATGGCTAAAATGTCAGGCATAGAGCTCATAGAAGTATTTAAGATATTTTCATTATACTCATAAAAATGTGTTTTGATTTGTTTGGTTTTTTTTTTTGTTGCTGGGCTTTTTTAAATTATTATGTGTTCTAAGAAAAGTTACTAGTATTCTACTCTAGCTGTCATTTGTACTGAGGTTTCATTCTTACGGCAGTACACGTTAAATCATTGTGAAAGTCTGAGATAGGTAGAAAGGTGAAATGTACTTGTTAAAGTGGGTAATTTTGCAGTATGTCCATCCTAAAGCAAGAAAAAATATTTTTAAACTGCCACATAAAAAATTCAAAGCATGTCTTGTTTATAAGGAAGGTGTATCTAACATAAAGAGCTTTGGTACAACTTTTATCTGTTTTTTTTTCTCTTTATGAGAAGACCCTGATGTGGGCAAACCCTGGGTCTCAGCTAGCACTAGCAAACAGCTTTAGCACCAGCAAGAAGGCAGGTGGAGGTAGTCTTTTGACAAAAAAATTTTTTATTTAAATACTGAATTTATTGGAGTTTACAATCTTGGATCCCAGTAGCTACAAAAAAAATCTGATAGTTCTGATAAGATAAATCCCTTTTTAAGTGTAACAGTCTGGAGTAAAAATGTATTTCTGTGGAATATCTATATTTCAATTCAGGAAGCCATTGAATAACTTGATTTTTGTGGGCTAGTAGATTAGCATTTGCAGCTTTATTTGTGGAGGTAGGGGAAATATGGTTAAATAAGAAATTATAAGCATAATTTTGCTTCTGTATTTGTCTTTCACTTACTACTCTCTGCTTTTCTTAATAGAGCTGGGTTTTTCATGGGTTACACAAATCTTTTCTTAGATCAGAAGATGTAATGAAATTATGTATGTATCCTGGCATTGAGCTGCAACTGCTTGGTAGCTCAGGTTTTAGTGGTTAATAAAACTTTACTGTCACAGACAGTACCTTTTTAAAGATTATCTGTGTTAATACTAGTATTTGAAGCCATGCTTTCAAGTGGACTTAGCTTTCTGTCCTAGTGGTATTTTTAATATGCTGTGCTTCTTTAAAAGACATTTTATGATCTAATTTATTTTCTAGGATTGCAGGAAGTAGTTCTTTGAATATATCTTCAACTAAGGGCTGGATATATAATACATTGGCAGGCATTGTTCTACTTTATTAAATAAAAGTTAAACAGAAAGCCATTTAAATGTCTACTTATCTGTAGCAGTTGTTCATATAAAACTAATGCAGTGTGTATGAGATAGTACTGTAGTGGAGCAGAGCAAATGAAAAACTGGGAACATGAAGTCCCATCAGCTTGTTTATCGTCATGCTGTGGTTACGTGTAAAGAGGAGAATGTTTCAGCTCACCAATTCTCTGATACTTCATTGAAAGTTTTATGTTTTTATGTATAGTTTCTCTGTAATGTGGTAAAATAGACATCATAGAGCAGTTTGTGTGATTAAATGTATATGATACTATCATTCTTAAGGTTGGACAAACAAGCTGAAACTGGTCCAGGATCTTGAACAAATCCTTCAGTGTTTCATAGTTGATTTGCTGCTAATGTATATTATTTTGCCTCAGCACTTTACAGGTGGAAGGTAAGAAGTAATAGAGGAAGGAGCTTTGCTGTGCCTGAAACCTCTGGGTGCTCTATTTCTGTGAAAGCCTTTTTTTCTTTTGAAGCTGTGTGTATTAGTGCATAGCACTTATATCTTCAAAGGTCATGTAAGATTTTTGTTGCACTGCAGAGCTGACAACTGCATGTGTCATGGTAAGGAAGCCATTAATTACATCATCAAGTAGTGTAGTGTCACAAGATTTCAGGTGCATGGAAACCAAGTAATTTTACACACTTAACTCCCTTTCCCATACCTAGCATCTTCAAGATAGACACCAATAGCTCTTGTAATGCTGAGCTTGAATTGTAGTACTGCAATACAGGATATAGTTAGGGACAATGAAACCTTTCTTCTGAGTTGATTCCAAGCAGTCTAAATGTTTTCCTTTTTTCTTCTTTTTCTGGATACTCAGTTAAACTCCTGTTAAATGAAGAGTTCTCTTTACAGTTATAGAAAGTAAAAACGCAAGAGTGAAGTTATCCTCTCCTGCCTTCTTTATGTAATTCAGATATTACCTATAGGATGAAAACAAGCTACAGCAGAGTATTGTTTCACATTACAAAGATAATGAAGTTGTAGTCTGGTTTTACTTTGAATAAAAAATCTTTGCCTGTATAAACTCAACAAAAGACGAAGATGCTGGTTCTTTGAAAATACAGTTATCTAATTTGTATTCTGTTTGGTATGTGTTCTTCATAAATCTTGTTACACAGTCCATCATAAAAAATTAAGAGGAAAGATGTATTTCATCTCAGTTTTAGTATTTGCTATACTGTAGTCATGCTTCAGTGTTACTTTACAAAGAATAATACTGCTTTAAAAGACTCCAGACCTGTATAAAAATCTTCTCTCTCCTGCCTTTCTGAGCTAGAAGAAGCCATCCATGCTTTAAGGGTTCCTTGATTTCTGTTCTGACAAATTGAAAAAAATGCTGCATTCTGTGTTCAGGGTAGGAAGACAGGTGAGTGACTGAAAGACATAGGTCATAAAGTATTCAGACTTTTAAGATGTAGAATTTCCCTGAAGATAAAGGGGATTTTGCCATATGAATTAGGAAAGATACCTTAGTAATTCAATGAAATTAGAAGGGAAGGCAATATTTGTACATATGCAGTGGCTTTTCCTTTAAATATTAAGTAGAATTACCTGTTCTCTAAGCAGGTAAATGTGAATATAGAATGTTGTATAATGTCTGTGGCACTATATTAAAATTTTTGCTGGGAAGAAATCTGTAGAAGGAAAGTTGGAGGATCTGCTATTTCATATATGCAAAATTACATCTGACTAAACTGAAAATACGTACTGCACAGGTAGACTGTGTTATCTTAACACTGAACTTTCTTCTTCATGGTCCGTACCTATCGAGAATGCTTAATTCTGGCATTACTGAAGTACTGTTTGAAAACTACATTTCAAATAAACCATGGATAAGTGATTTGAGGGTTTAGGTAAATGGTGCTGTACTTTCTTAGGATATACTCTTAGTTGTATCTAAAGGTACAGTTTCTTTACTTCTAGGGAAATTCCTGAATAAGGAGAGTGTACGGGTGTCCTGGGTTTACCAGTAGCAGTCATTTTTTCTACTTTTTAGTAGCTGGTGCAGTGCTGTGTTTTGACTTTCAGCCTAGGAACAACACTGATAACACCGATGTTTTTACTTGCTGCTCAGTAATGTTTACCAAGGCTCTGTCAGGGAGGAGGGAAAGCCAGGAGGAAGCAGAGACAGGACACCTGACCCAAACTAGCCAGAGAGGTATTGCATACCACATCACATCATGCCCAGGGTATAAAAATGGGGGCAGTTACCCGGAAAGGCTAGATCACTGCTTGGTTGGGCCGGGTATCAGTTGGCAGGTGGTGAGTGGTGGTATTCTCTTCCCTTGTTATTTCCCTTATCATTATTATCATTATTATTATTGGTGTTAGCAGTAGTGATTTGTGTTACACCTTAGTTAACTGGGCTGTTCTTATCTCAACCCGTGGCAGTTGCATTCTTTTGATTCTACTCCCCATCCCTCTGGCAGCCGGGGGGGGGGGGGGGGAATTGGGGGAGTGAGAGAGAGGCTGTGTGGTTCTGAGTTACGGCTGGGCTTAAACCACAGCAACTGATTGTGCTCTGTTAGTCAGATGGGAAATCTGCAAGTCAGCTGTTTTCAGAATAAGATCAAATTTCACAAACATTTAATTGCACATTTAGCTGAAAGATACAGTGGATGCTACAGTAGAGTGATAGAGGGTGGTATGTACAAAGGGTTTTAATCAAGTTTTTCTGCACATCTTTCAAGCAAGTTACACCATGACAGTAATGCTGTCATTACAGCTAGCACTCAGTATGTTTGACAGGAAGCCACAAGAAACTCTTTAAGAGATTCTGAGTTTCCTGGTCAATTTTTTTTTTTTTTTTTTAATTCTTACATAAATTTGAATTTTTATTGTGATAAATCTTTTGAGTAGTAGTGAGGTACCTCCACTTTTCAAATTGTAGCTGAGTTTGCAAAAGCTTCTGTCAGTCCTAACTGGTTACTCTGTTATCTTGCACACAGAGACTTGCTGTAAATTGTGTCAGAGCAGGCAATAGTCTGTTCCCAACTCCTCCAGCTTTATTCAGTTCACACCTTGAGGACTTAACAGTGGAAAATACTGCTAGGTGATGGACAAAGATATTTTCTGTTGGTAAAATCATGAGTAACGAAGCTGGAGGAGAGGGGTGAAGATACTCTCATCTCATGTTGTGGTCACAAAGCATGTTCCAAGTGAGTCAGTCCCAATTTTTCTTTCCTGTGTGTTCTTCACTAAGAAGGAAACAGGGTTTTTCTTCTGAATGTCTACATTCACAAAAGCACGTTAATAGTATGAAATAAAAAAAATGATGCTTAACTATTCTTCTCTTGAGAAATTGTGGACTACTTGGAATGTAATTTATCCCTATTTTTATTCTATGAAAGCTCGTTTGTGTGGATGTTATGTCATTAACCGAAATTAATTTGCGAACAAGATATACAGTAGCTCTATTTTGAATTATTAATACCTACAAAGATAAAAATACCCTAAGAAATTTTGGAGTTATTACTGCTCTTCTATGAGCCTGTGAATCCATAAAAAGTGACTTCAGTTCAGAAAATTAGAAAATTGCATTTTAAGTGTGCTCAGTCATGCATAAAATAGTACTGTTGTGGTCATCAAGCGGTCAGCATCTGGATTTTCTAAACACATGAATGAGAGAGACTTTCTCTGTAAAATTCTTACCAGTTACATCACTACTTTTCTGTCCCACCTCAGAAATGGAAAATATCCTCTTTCTGTTTATATTGATTATGATTAGAAGATCTGTGGTTAAGATATAAAGTATTTGAGGTAGGTATTCCTGTAATAAAGTGATTGACTCAAATTTCTGCCACAATCTTGGGAGAGAAGATTCTTATGTCTTGTATAGTTTAATTATTTGTTAATATAATTATTATGTTATTGTACATGTGAAGCTCTTGAACAGTTACCAGAGAGATGCAGAAATGTTTTTTTTATTTGGTTTGGTTTTTAATTCCCAGGTCAAAATCTTGACAGCATGCTTCATGGCACAGGAATGAAGACAAATCCTGACCAAAAGAAACAAGCAAATGGAGTAACACTTGCTCCAGAGGACACCTTACCTTTTCTTAAGTGCTACTGCTCAGGACATTGTCCAGATGATGCTATTAATAACACATGCATGTAAGTATTGCATACAGGATAGAAGAGGCTCATTTTTGGTTGTGAGAGAGGAAACTCTTAGAGTGCTGACTGATGTTCTGTCAAGTGATTTGGCCATAGCTGATTAGAAACTCAGTAATTCTGTGGAGAGCTGAGAACTAAAACCCAGTTATCCATATCTAAACAGTACTGTTTTCATCATAACTTAGAGCCATTTGCAACTGGTCATTTAGCCCAGCAAGTGCTGTTAAGGATTGAGGTTTTAAGTTACCTGTAGCCTTTTATAAATGAGTATTAAATGACCTAAATCTAAGCCTCCTGATCTGACCATCTGCTGGCTTAGTCTAATGTTTCTTCAAGTAGTAGTCAAGAATTAGCAACATAACCATTTACTGAGAATTCTTGTTACATGTTCATTAGTTGTAAAGTATGAAGGAAAGGCAGGGGGAAGGAGGAGGATGAGCGAGGAGAAAATCCTCTGAACACATAAGGACAGGAGGGTAGTTTTAACTTTGATAGGCATCAGAATTCTAACAGATCCATGCACTGATTGTGCTCTTGCTTAAGATGCTTTACTCATCTCGTAAAATGTCCTTGGTTTCCTTTTGTTCCCTTCATTTGCAGTTCAGTGTTTAAGACTCCGTTTTTTTTCCTGAAGAATTAATATAAAGATACATAATAGGAAACACCTTAACTTGCTCCTTTTGAGTTTTCACTTGAGCATGTAATATGAAGCCTCTCTAAAGCTGTCACTTGGCAGATAAAGAAGTTTTTGTGGAACTCAGGGAGGTGGAATAAACACTGCTATCTTTTAGAATGTAAACACAGTATTTTATAAATAGTTTTGCACCTAAAAAATGTTCTGTTATTATTCAGTATTTTAATTCCTTTGGTATGTACTTTTTTGCTTTTTATCGCCCCCTCGTGTATGCCGTCAGTATAGGCTTTATTTTTTTTTCCCTTCAAACGAATGGCTATATAGATCGTTATTCTGATAATAAAGCTGTTGGAGAGTTAGTAACACGTAGGCAGTGCTCATGTGGAGGGTATTTTATGGCATTATGCTTACTAAACCTGCATTTCTTTAAATAAATTATTGACGAGCAGCAATATTTCTGGATTTGTTTTCTGTAGTATCTGATGAGGGAATGTGAATGGGTTTTGATTTACTTAATAAAATCTTAAATTTTATTACATATATATTTAAATCATGGACCTACTATTGCAAATCGGTTTGGGATTCCGTATAAATCTTGTTGACATTTTGGTGTAATGTAGAAATCAAAACATTTCTATAAAGAGATAATAGAGAATTGAAATGCCCTTTTTTTTTATGTGATTAATTAAAGATTTGCTACTGACAACTTCAGAAAGTGGGTTTGGAGGTTTATTGATTTGTTTTGCTCTAAGTCTGAATATTTGAGAAAGCTCATGTGGGAAGATTGTAGCTGAGCTTTTGACCCTGAAATAGCCACCTTTCGCATACTGGGATTTCTCTTCAAGAGCTTATCATTACAGTTTCAAGAAGAGGCACAAGTGAATTTTTTGTTATTATGTTTTAACGTATAATGTTGTAGTCAGTATGCCTTTTTAGTTAGATCTCTGCTTTTTCTACCCCCTCAGTTGTTTCTAAACAACTGCATGTATGTGGTTGGATACAAGCAATCCTGAAAGGGGGGGGAAGGGGCAGCAGTGAGGAAGTTGGAAACAGAATGTTTGGGAGAACAGTTTCTGGTTGTAAATAGTGGGGGGGTCTTTTGTTCTCAAGCTGTATGATAAACACTGTGTTAAAATTGGAATTTTTCTGGATATTACCATTCTAGTTTTCCTAATGGGCTCATGATCAGCTAGTGCTGTATATTTAACAGCAAACATGCTGGTAAAGCACAAATCATATGTTTATTCCAGAACTAATGGGCACTGCTTTGCTATCGTTGAGGAAGATGAACATGGAGAACCCACACTTGCTTCTGGCTGCATGAAGTATGAAGGTTCAGACTTCCAGTGCAAGGTAAAAAAATTGAGATACCATTAAAATTTAAGATCCCCAAAGGAAATTATCTAGGGAAACTTCGTAAGCATTTTAAATCTCTGTAGTTTACATCTGCAATCACAAATTTTGCTTGTTGCCATTTACCACTGAGGAGAATGGGACTGAACAGTTGTGGGTAAGTAGTGGCAGAAAAGACACTTAATGGTGTTTGAGTGAAGGCTGAAATAGAATCCTAGCTTGTTGGAGTTCTCTGAAAGTATCTGTAAGCACTGACAAAATTAACAGAGAACATCAGCCTTTTACTTGTCTGCAGTTTCCTCAGTTGAAGAGGCAAATTTATAGTTGACCTAATCTATCTGAATAGTTTATGTTTTCATGCAGAATTTCTTGATTGCTTTAATTTTGAATTACTTGCTTTCTTCATTTTGTCTGACAGAAACGCATAATTGTAAGGAGTTGTCTTCAGAGATTACACAAGAGCTCCCTTAAAGTTTCATGAACATGTACACAATTTATCAAATGTGTATGTTTTCCTGTGACATACAGCATTATTTTTTTCCTTTGCAGAAGAGTTAATCTATTGTTAATTACATGAATATAACTTGCCCTTGGTTTAAAGGGGTATGATAAGCAGACTGCTGCCTTTAAAACCTCTTTGTTATAAAAGTTGGAACTGAAAACATAGTTAATAAAGCAAGGACTTATTTATAAGATGGACATATAGCACTAGTTGGGCAAATAAATACTGCTTTGGAGGACTGGATTTTGCTTTTGTCACGTTGCTTACATTAAACAAATCTTTCAGGGGTAATTACCAGCTAGGTTGCTTTCTCCCCATTGCCTCCCTTCCCCCATCCCAATATCTCTAGGACTTGAGTTTCTATATAATGTAGCTGTGGGTAGCACTGCTTTTTGGAAGTACTCTTGGCTTCATTTACAGCTGTGAATGTTTAGGGTTATTGCAAATCAGACCTGAGATGTCATGATGAGAAGAGATTCAGAGCAGCCCTGCAGAGAAGGACTTGGGGGTGCTGGTCAATGAGAAAATGAACATGAGCCGGCTTCAGTGTGTGCTTGCAGCCCAGAAAGCTAACCGTATCCTGGGCTGCGTCAAAAGAAGTGTGACCAGCAGGTCGAAGTAGGTGATCCTGCCCCTTTATTCTGCTCTTGTGAGACCTCACTTGGAGCATTGTGTACAGTTCTGGTGTCCTCAACATAAAAAGGACATGGATCTGTTGGAACAAGTCCAGAGGAGGGCCACAAGTATGATCAGGGGACTGGAGCACCTCCCATATGAAGATCGGCTGAGGAAGTTGGGGCTGTTCAGCCTAGAGAAGAGAAGGCTGCGTGGAGACCTCATAGCAGCCTTCCAGTATCTGAAGGGGGCATACAGAGATGCTGGCAATGGACTCTTCATTAGGGACTATAGTGGTAGGACAAGGGGTAATGGGTTAAAACTTAGAGGGGAAGTTTAGATTGGATATAAGGAGGAAATTCTTTCCTGTTAGGGTGGTGAGGCACTGGAATAGGTTGTCCAGGGAGGTTGTGAATGCTCCATCCCTGGCCGTGTTCAAGGCCAGGTTGGACGAGGACTTGGGTAATATGGTTTAGAGCGAGGTGTCCCTGCCCATGGCAGGGGGGGTTGGAACTTGATGATCTTAAGGTCCTTTCCAACCCTAACTATTCTATGATTCTATGATGACCTCCTGAAATTGTTTTTGTACTTATATTAGTGTCTTACTTTCAGATTAATTTTCATGTTCCCCCATCTTTTATGTGGTGTTCTCAACATGTTCGTGATGAAAATAGTGCTGCTATGAGTGCAAGAGGAAAACTTGTAAAGGGATTCATCTCTTTCTTTTTTTCTTTTTTTTTTGTCTAAGAGCAGCATTTATTTAACATATAATTAACTGCTTTTGATGAAGCTTAAAAATTTTGCAATATATGAAGCAGCAGCTTAAGTAGGATCCATTTATTTCTGTGCACCAAGTAGGAGAAGTTCCAAACATAGAACATATGAACCTAAATAGATGAGGTAATGACTGTCTGCCACTGTGAACTTGCCTCATACATTAAGTGGTGAGGTTAAACTGTTTTTCTAAAATAAAATAGCTTAAACTTGTGTCTTTGCTGTGTTGTATCTGTAGCATCACCTGTCCGCATCCTAGCTGATCACTTCAAAATCTGAATCTTTGTTCAATTCTCCTTCAACAGGACTCACCTAAAGCACAGTTACGTAGAACAATCGAGTGCTGTCGGACTGATTTCTGCAATCAGGATTTACAACCAACGTTACCACCACTTGACAGTACAGGTAACAGCTCCTAGATGTTCACACTGCTGCTAATAAATGCTGTGTATATTCTGTTCTTCTGATCCTGATCCAACAGATAAAAATAAGGAGAAAATGTAATTACAGTATTGCACAGATTTGTTTTTTCCTTACTAAGTAATTTTAATAAGAAGCTCTCTACTAGGTCTCATATTCTACTCCAGTTTTCCTTTTCTGCCACTTCCAAGTTAATCTTTTCTTCCATCAATCACTCATGGTATTTTTATTCTCTTGCTCAGTTTGCTCATCTCATATCTGTTTCCATAGCCCATTCTCGTTTCTTTTTAAAATAGTTTTTGTAATCTCTGCCATGTTTTTGGTGTGATGAATGTATCTTAAAGTATTCTGACATTAACTGTTTTGTACTCTATAGTGATTCTCTTCTTGCTGTCGTTCCCAATGAAGACAGTTCATGTTTTCATATGCTTATTCATTGCTAGGCAAGTCATACTAGTTTAACTATTGCTTAAAATACCTTCTTCAGAGTCTTACTGCTGTAAATCTTTCTCTTCTATTTTTAAAAACAAGCTAACAAGAATCAACCAAAACCAACAGCTCCAAAAATCTCAAGTTAAATCCTTTTTTGTTGTTGAAATCCAAATGAAATTTGCTTTGCTTTGCCAGTGTAAATTCTTACTTTGATACTGTAACACTATAAGTTTTGTGTAATTTCGTATGGACAGATCTTTTGTATGCACTAGCTGTCCTGCTTCTTTCTGATGTTTTGCAATACTGTCACAGCATCAAAGACTGCTTGAGGCTTACATAGGACCTCTGGAGCTATCACGTTCAATCCCCCTGCTCAAGCCAGTTACACAGGACCATGTATAGACAGCCTTTAAGTCTCTCCAAGGAAGAAGACACCACAGCCTCCTTGGACAACTTGTGCTAGGGCTTGTTTACCCTCACAGTAAAGAAGTATTTCTTGATGTTCAGACAAAACCTATGTTTCAGTTTATGTACACTCAAATACACAATATATTAAAATATACCTAATTAAACAATTTGCAGTAGATGCTTGATCAATAGACTTTGGAAACTTTCATCTTTTTTCCTTTTTTTTTTTGTTTTGTTTTTAAATAGATGGGCTCTTTGATGGCAGCATTCGTTGGATGGCAGTGTTGATTTCTATGGCAGTCTGCATAATTGTCATGATCATCTTATTTAGCTGCTTTTGTTACAAGTAAGGAAAGCACTTTTTTATTGCCAGTGTTTTTAATTTCCCAAATGAGTGCAAACAGAACAGGTATTTTGTACGTATACTCGGTTAATCGTATTTATTTCTAACAAAAATAGATTGGAAGTGAAACCGTTGTTAACTTAATTTCACACTTCTATGGATAGCAGTTTGCATTGCAAAGTAAAATGAAATGTTCACAATGTGGAATATAAGTGAATTTAATGCTTTGGCTAAAAAATGTTTACAGTTTTCAAAGCTACATTTAACTTTGATGCTATATCATCTAATGAACAGGAATATCTTTATGCTTTTTTTTCTGTTTTTTGATCTTCAGTCACTTTTGGTAGTTAAATTCCATCTACATCCAAGATTTACTTTTAAATGCTTTTGCAGACCTAAAGCAACAAGGATGTGTTTAGAACTTTTCTGCTGTGTTTCAAAACTGAATAATTGACCAGCCGAGCTATGGCAATTAATGCAAGTGCAGTTTCAGAGACAGTGCCTGCTTCTGTCAGTGCCAGCCATGTGCTGGGGGTGATCAGTGTTCTAGCAGTTTCAGCAGAAATATGCATGGGTCAGCCTCAGCTGCCATGGTTCAAGGTTCAGGCTGTTAGTTTAAACCAAAGCCAGCAGTGTTATACTAGTAACTGGCTGTGAGCTGAGTACTAAAAACACTGGATTTCCACCTGATTCACAGTAATTTGACATGCCTCTACACACAGTGCAACTTTTTTATGTTAACTATATGTTAATTTCTGGAAGAAAGAAAAAGGTACAGTAACATCTGTTGTGGGTTTTTTTCTTTTAAGAAAATTTGTACATTTAAATAGCTTTTTTCCTTGTTCAATTTACTACATATTTTGAGAAAGTTTTTTGAAATTCAGCTGAACTTCTCCTATTACATTTGAAGGCATTACTGTAAGTCGATGGCAAAGAGGCACTGTTATAATCGTGACCTGGAGCAAGACGAAGCATTTATTCCAGCTGGGGAGTCATTAAAAGACCTGATTGACCAGTCACAGAGTTCTGGGAGTGGATCAGGACTACCGTTATTGGTAAATCATAGATCTTTCTTCAATGAACTTCTCTCCATTAAATACACGGTTTGGTTTGTACCTAATGCCTAGAAGAAAGCAAAGTGTCAATACAGGATATTATTTTAAAGGCAATTACTCTGAAAGATACAGCAAAACTAAACATGTACAAAAGCTCATATTCACATAGTAAACTAAAACAAAGTGCAAAATCAGATTGTTTTAGGAAAGTGTTGCCATCGGCAAAATGTAGGGACAATTGGAGCCTACTGACATTAAGAGAAAGATGCAGTGAATGGCTCATCCAAGTGTTGACCAAACTCAAAAGATATTTTTTCCTGTGTCTGCTATCTGATAAAATAGATCAGCTTTTTATTGGCCTAGTTGTTCATAATTTTTTATTCATCTTCCTATATAGTACTTGCATTAAAATTAACCAGTGAGACAAGTGACTGTAATTATTTTTAAGGTGAAACAAATAGAATGCATATGAAGTTGAGCTGATTTTGATCTTTCTGGGTTTGTTATACAATTCTTCTTTGGAGGCAGCAATAGTGAATTTGAAATGGGAATAGTGGAAAATATGGATAACTTACATAGAACAACTTTTGCAATGGGGTCAAAATTCAAAGCAATCCAGGCTTGAGAAATAGCTCATCCAAGTACTTTTGGTTAATCATTGAGTTTCCCTCCTCCACTTCCCCCTCTTTCTTATTCTCTAGGTTCAACGCACTATTGCCAAACAAATTCAGATGGTGAGGCAAGTTGGAAAAGGACGATACGGTGAAGTGTGGATGGGCAAATGGAGGGGTGAGAAAGTTGCAGTGAAAGTGTTCTTCACCACAGAAGAAGCTAGCTGGTTCCGAGAAACAGAGATTTACCAAACTGTTTTAATGCGTCATGAAAACATCCTTGGTAAGGAAGCAGTACATTGTACTGGAGAGCTTTTGTAAGGGGAAGGAGTTCTTAGTGGGTGGCTTGAGAGTGGTATACGATGGCTTCTATAGAATAACCAAATGTGTGTTCCTTAATGTATGCTAGTAATGTAGTATTGAAAGTGCTGGTGTTGATTGGAGACATGTTTGCAATCTCTTTGCTGGAAGACTGAAATGGTAACCTCATGTATAGTTGAAGTCTGAGCTTTTATGTTGCTTGTTTTCCATGAGGGGAACAAGTACCTTCCAATACAGTCCAAACCAATATATGTTTTATAAAAAATTATGTACAAATACATTTTAACTTTGTTTCTATATTTCAAAGGTTTCATAGCTGCAGATATTAAAGGCACTGGCTCCTGGACACAGCTGTACTTGATTACAGATTATCATGAAAATGGATCATTGTATGATTTTCTGAAATGCACTACGCTAGACAACAGGGCTCTCCTCAAACTGGCATATTCTGCTGCATGTGGTCTGTGCCATCTACACACAGAAATTTATGGGACCCAAGGAAAGCCTGCTATTGCCCACAGGGACCTGAAGAGTAAAAACATCTTGATAAAGAAAAATGGAACCTGCTGCATTGCAGACTTGGGTCTTGCAGTCAAGTTTAACAGGTAGATGAACAAATCCTCTGTAATGGTAAACCTTTTTATTTGTAATGCACCAAATTCCTGATTTTAAAGGAAGGTAGAATAATTTGGTTGCATGCTTTCAGTTCTTTTCAATTCTGAGAGTAAAATGCTGTTCTTTCTTTGTAGACTGGTAATCATTGAGATGAAAATAGGTTGTTAAATGAACAATGAAAAGACATTTTGTGGAAAGACAGTAGTTTTGTAGAGGAAAGGAAGAGGAGACTAATTCCTTATTCAAAATGGCCTTTCAAAGTAATTGCCATCATTATATATTCTCATAGAAAATTTGAACAGTGTTAAGGGAGTTGAAACTTAATTGAAGAAGTAATACTTTTTCATTTTAATTTCAGTGGAGCCAGAGAATTGGGTTTTTGCTACAGTAGAGCCTGAAAGAAAGCATAAGCCCTTTGCAGATGTTGAGTTGTTACCAAATACACTCACCTTTATAGTAGTTTTTAATTCAAGTTATTTTCATGTGTTTTAAATGTCTTGCAAAAGTAGTAGTAGTAAACTGTCAACTTCCATATTCGATGCCGTTTTTCTAGATGATCTTTTTCATGGAGGCACAATGTACTCTTAAGTATAGTATACAGAAGGAAATAAAAGAAATATTTCAATTTGTAAATGGGGGCTTTGCAGTGTAGCGATTGCATCAGACAGAATTTCGTACCATGTCTTGTACTAGTCCACAATTCACTAACTTCCTTATGTTTTCATGTAGTGACACAAATGAAGTTGATGTTCCCTTGAATACTAGAGTGGGAACAAAACGTTACATGGCTCCAGAGGTCCTAGATGAAAGCCTGAATAAAAACCATTTCCAGCCATACATCATGGCTGACATTTACAGTTTTGGGCTGATCATTTGGGAAATGGCTCGGCGCTGTGTCACAGGAGGTAAGCTGTTAAATATTCTGTATAAAATCTACCAGGCCCTTATCTCACTTTAATGATACTTGACCAGGAAATAATGTAACAGGCCTGCTATATCAAGCCTTGTGTTCTTTAGAAGCAGTAGTAACAGTCTGTCCACACTACAGCTTGAAAATCACTGTACCAAATCTTTCTGACTGTTAGAATTAAGCATCTCGGGCTTTTCTTCCTTGCTCAAAAAGCAGAATGCCTGCTCTGGGAAAAATTCTTCAGCTGCATATGTATTTTAACCCCGTGCTGTTAATAAAACTTTTAAAAAGTAGGTGGTGTTATTATACTTGTATTTCTGGTGTCATTCAGTTTTTTCCTCATACATGTTTTTGTGACCAGCCCTTGCTTTTCTTTCACCTTTTTTATGATGTTACAGATCTTTGCTTGTGTTCTCTTCTTCTGTCTTACGCTTTCTCCCTGTTCCTTTGTGCATGCAATGGATCAGATGTCAAATTCTACACTGGGTGTCAAAGTCAAAAAGACTGAAAGGAATTAGTGTAGCTATTAATATTCATAATATTAGAGATTTTCTGTTAAATACCTGATTGTATAGTGAAATCTGGGTGGGTTTACCACAGTATAACAGTGTGGTGGGTTTGCTCTGGCACAAAATTGAGTTAATTTTTGCTCCTGGCTAAGGAAATCTGAGAGTAGATATATGGGTTTATTTTCTCTTTTTTAATGGTTTTTGATCTTTCACAATTATCTGCAGGTATTGTTGAAGAGTATCAGTTGCCATATTATGACATGGTGCCAAATGATCCATCCTATGAGGACATGAGAGAAGTGGTGTGTGTCAAACGCCTACGCCCAGTAGTCTCGAATAGATGGAATAGTGATGAAGTGAGTATGCTGAAAGGAGAAATTAGTTGAATTTGTTCCTTTGATATAGAAGGGTATTTAAATTTAAAAAACATTAAAACATTGTAAAATTAGGGACTACATCCACACATTCTGATACTTTAATAACCTCACACAAACAGCAGGAGAAAGATAGGTTTGAAATCAACACAGAATACCGTATTTTTCATATATCTTTTCATGGATCTAAGGGAAGGATACGACTAAGCAGCATCCAAGTGTATGAATACTGCTGTAATTGAGATCTTTTTTTTAGATAGTGGAATATTTTTAAGAGTTTTGATTAGAGCTGAAATTTAAATGAGTTTTAATTGGTTTAATTAGTCTTAATGTATATAGTGTATTGGTTTGTGGCAGAAGGTATTTCATGGAATATGAAGCAATTTCTACTTATTTGTAGATTTCCCCTTTTTTCTTTTCTTTTTTTTTTACTGGTACATTTCAGGGCAAGCCATGATGTAAGTAAAATACTAAATTTAAAACTGTTTTTAAAGGGCCACAGCTTGAACCAATAAATAAGACATAGCTAGTTCACATGGCAAGCTAGATATGTCATATCCTTTTTGAGAGTTCTTTCTGTATTATTTTTTTAATGCTGAAAGAACTTTTCTCACATCTTCATTTTTAGTGAAAAAGTTCTCTGCAGTTTTTCTGCTGTACATGTGGAGATTTTTCTGCTTATTCCTACCATTTTTTGTACTGCTGTTCTTGAGTTGTAATGATAAGTTCTGGTAATGCATTTTTGTGAAAATAAAGAAACACTTCAGTTAGTTCCAGCTATTGTAGTACTAGGCAGTGAAGGAGTGGAAAAAGGAGGACTGGGACATGGTTGTTGAATGGGGTTGGTTTGTTTTATCGGGGTTTTTTTAGTTGATCTGTTTATAGTATCAGCAGTTTTGCAGAAAATGTGGAAATTGCACATTTGGACTTAAGACTTATATAATTTGGGCTTGAAAGCAAACCAAATTTTACACCTCAGATCTGTCAGTTGTTACAATATTATTCCTTTGGTTTTTATTTTACAGTGTTTAAGAGCAATATTGAAATTAATGTCTGAATGCTGGGCTCATAATCCTGCTTCGAGGCTCACTGCCTTGAGGATCAAGAAGACACTTGCCAAGATGGTGGAATCACAAGATGTAAAGATTTGACATAGAAAATTGACATTGGAGAGCAAAGCTGGACTCCTAGATCTTTTCACTCAAACATGAGTGAGACCTATGTGGAAAGAGGAAATAACTGAGATTCAGTATATTTTCTCAGCACACTTCTACAGGCTGCTAATAAAATCTTTCAGTATGTCATAGACTGTGATACTGAGAGCCTCTATACACTACGTGATACGTAAATGGACAGCCTTGGTAAAATACACGTTTTGGTTTTGTTTGAGCTGCATTGAGACTTCATTCATACATAGTGAGTCTCCAGTGAAACTCTGGGTACTGAATTGAATGTTCAGATTACAGTGCTTTCTGTGAAAGCCTCACAAGCTATATGGATTCGACAGAGATGGAGAATATAAGCTTTTTTTTTTTGGTTTTGCCTTCTACCTGATAAAACCTAGTCAATCCATACCAAGTTTTTGTGAAACAGGCTGTAGGTTATGAATCTGTTTGCAATACTACTCAGTTTAACAGTTGCCTTTATGTGTGTGCCAGGATTATTTTGCTGTCATTTGAAATAGATAAATAATTAAATGAACAAAGTTTTACGATCAGGGTTCCATGCATTTTGTAGCTCCACAATCAAGAGATTTGCTACAGAATCCTTGCTATTAAGTTATCTTCCTAAATCTCAGTTTTAATTTTATTTCAGTTTTATTTCTGTTCTTGTTTTGGTCATAAGGAGAACTGCAAAAACATTAACAAATTAAGGAGTGCCTACCTAAGTCTGTAAAGAGCTGGAAACAATCTCTCTTAGAGGCACAGACTGCTTTGGTCACCTCGCTTACAGTCTGGTGGCCTCATAATTGGATGACTATGAAATTTGGCATATCTTTCACAGTGCCACACAACCAGCATTTTTGCTGTTGAATACCTTACATCCTAAAAAAAGGATGGTTGATGACATGTTTTGCCTTTCTCCTTTATTGGGATTCCCTGGTAGGTGCCCATTTTGCTCTGACATTTTTCTGTACAGGAGGTAATTGGTCAACTATAGGAGCATGGTTTTTCATCATTTGACAAAACTAGGCAGAAGGTAAGTTTTGAAAGGCTGGAGAACAAGTCTAATTTACAGACACAGAAATGGCAGGAAGCACAGGCTGGGCTCGGAGAACTGAATATATGTCAACGATTAAAGATACACAGCATGACGATTTTCAAGCTGGGTTGCTCTGATGTAAATGCAGGAGGCCACATATGTGGATCACATTGTTGACAGTCACAAAACTCAAGATTTTAGACAAGGTAAATCAGTGGGTATTTTAAGTTCTACTTAAGCACGCTTGGGAGGAATGGCATTGAAAGATAAATTTATGACGATAAGTAAGTTAACATAATTGCAAAATTTGGCCTTACTGTGCCAACAATTTGGCGCATATAGGAAACTGTAGTACCTTCCTTTTCTTCACTGATCCAGACAAGTTGTTTAAAAGCCAGAATCCCTCCACGAGGTTACTGTTAAGCAGATTCATTGATTTATAACTCCTTTGGCACTTCTACTTTTGAAGTTACAAAACAGTACCATAACTCAAGTTGAAGCTTCAAATGCTTGAATTGTCTGAAGAATGAACACATAGTATTGGAACCATTGCATTGAACCTGTTTGATAATTTAAGTGCCTATAACTTTGTACTGTAAATCTTGTTCTAGGTAACGTTAAGAAGGGAAGTTATTTATATGGTGTGTTTTGTGCTTTACTAAAAAAAAAACAAACAAAAACGTCAGCCACCTAGGTAGATGTGTACAGTTAGATACATGCACAAACACACATACGCCATAGTCAAGATTTGAAGAAAAAAAAGCTAGGAATAATACTAAAATTGATGGAAAAATGTTAAAACTTCAGATTGATTTATGCCATATTATTTGTTGTCTTAAAATATGTATACATGGAGATTGTTTTGACATCTGTTTAAGTTTCCCTTGAAAATACAACTAAGAGAAAACAATGTAATGCAGAACTAATGTGATTTGTGAACGGTTACAACCTTCTAACTTTTTTTTGTTTTGTTGTAATTCTGTAGTTCACATAATGTAAATGGTCAGGCGAAAGATGGCAGTATTTTTTATTTTCTATTGTGATGTACAGACTTTATTTAACTGTTCTACATGTTTTATAGAAAACTAGCTATTTCGAGGGACTTTTTTTTTTTAATAAAGTCATTACTTTTGTTCAGTAATGCCTTTAAGTATTAATATGTATTCTGGCCGAGAAGTTCATCGGTGTGTCAACTATGGTTTTAACTTATTTGAAAACAGCAAAAGATACATGATATACCACGATCCTTATGTAAAGGGCTTTTTAAAGAAAACATTTCTCCGTCCATTGCCAAGAAACGTGTGATGAGTTTGCAATTGTTAATCATGTCGTCGCATATAATTTTTGCACAAGTAGGTGGAAAAGATTTGGTATGAGCCAAAAAATGTAAGGGATAAGCTTTTATTTTTTTCCTTCTCTAGTATTTTTATCAATAAGAAGGGAGAATGTTGAGGTGCCCTCCTAGTTTAAACTTTCAGAGCAGTGAGGTCTATTTAAATTAACCAGTTCCTATTTAGAATTTTCCGAAGCTTCCACAGCATTATTAGCTATGGACTTGTCAATTTTTTTAGTTCATTTTCCCCAAGTGTTCCTCAGCTACTGCTGGAGGTGTGAATTTTGGTAATTTGAAATTACTCATTTACTTTATTCTCCATTGTTAGGCATTTGCAAAGCAACAAGGTGCTGATCTTTGGTAGACATCTTAAGACTTAAATTAGTTTACACATTAACACAGAAGATGTGAGCTGGCTGCTGTAAAGGTGATTTTTGAGAGAAGAAAAATATTTTTGCCTTGAGCTTTAATCTTCATTTTTTCAGTGCTTCAGTTACTAGGTTCATATTCAGTTTTCATTGTCCTGAACAGGATCTGCTAGGTCTTCAGCATTCCTTGATTCCCTGATACTCCAAAAAATGTTATCGATAAAGGATCTGGTTGGCATAAAGCACTTGAGCACATACCTACATTCCATGCAATGTCAGTCATTGTTTGGAGTTGAAGTATGTCTATACTGATATTTTAACAATTATTTTGGAGAAAAAAAATCCCCAACCCAGCCTTCAGTTAAAGCTAGCCCATGAGTTTTTATATTAAGTATACTTAGTGCAGATTCTAAATCTAAGTTGTTGCTTTATGCAATACTGTAGTTCAGAAGCCTTTAAGGTCAGGGAAGGTAATAGGATTCCTCTGTTGGAATATGATTAGTCTCACTTTGGTCAAAATTTTAAGCACTTGTCATTAAAAAAGAAAAAAAATATCCCCCCAAACTGGCAAATGTGTCCTCAATTTTTGTTGTTAAGAAAAATTGAAATATCTTGGGGAGTGTCAGAGCTGTGCCTTGGAAGTTCTTAAACATTCACATACAGACAAGGTAATTTTGTCTCTTAAGACAATGCTCCATGTGATTTCAGTTAGGTGGAAAATAATTTGAGTCACATAATTCTTACTGTTACAACAACTGAAAGTTTTTGTGTTCTTTGATAACTTGTAAATTCCACATGATATTCCTACAGAAACGTGGTTTACATTTTGAGTTTATTCTTTTACTCAACATGTAATTTTTCCTGAGGGGTTTCCCCCCCCTCCCCAAGAAATTGACAGCTTTCCCAATATCCATCACTTTTTCCTAATTATTTCCTTAATTAGTCTATTCTGCGGTATTAATAAAAAGTAAAATTAATATTTTAGGTTACCTTCACAGTAGTCTAGAATTAAATTTTAGATCTTGATCTAAATGGCCATTTGAATGTGTTTATAAAACAAATAATTTGGATATCTTTTACCTACTGTCTTCACAGACTGTATTTTAATGGTCTAAAATGTTTGAAAAGCAAAGATACTAAATTAAAAAGCATTCTTTTGCTATTGCAGATATTTTTAAAGGGAAGCTACATGCTCCTCTTCTGACAGATACTAAAATGATTTAGCACTTCCTCATTCTCCTGACAGTGCTTCTCAAGTCAAAAACCTTTATCCATGATCTTTATGCCAAACAGGAGTGATGTCTAAAATTGGCTGGCAGTGTTGCATGGTACAGTGCTTCATGGAGTCATGGTGTATTAGCCTTGATCGGTGTAGCAGAAGTGGATTGCACATTACTTCTAATTTCTGAACAAATCTCATGTGATTGTTGCTTTGTACCATTTTACCATTTGAATGCAATTATAGAAGCCCACATCATGTAGTGACATTTGTGCTCTGACATGCCATGCCCCAAATGAAATGTATTATATTGTATACAAGAAGAATAAATGACATTGTAGTTAACCTAGAGAAGATGTAAATAAACTATGAAAGAAGAGTGGAGCAAGACAAATGGTCACACTCTTGTGTGTGTTATATGCCAGAAGTGTAGAATACTCCTCTAAAAATGTAACACACTGATGTATTTTGTACAGCATCTGCTTTAGAAGGTGCCTTACTGAGTTTACCATGAATTGCTTGTTCTGTACACAGATCATGTCCAATGTATCATTTTTAAGTAAATAACCTTATTTTAGTACACGTTAGTAATGTGTTTTGTTACTATAAGATTTTACCTTAAAAATGTAATGACTTGGAAATCATAATACTGTAACTAAATAATTCCCTTCTTTCTAATACCTTGTTTATGGTCCCGTCCCCAGTGTCCATCCCCCCCACCCTGTAAGTTGTCAATGATCACTTTTATTGTTCAGTGGTGTTCAGAATTGTTTGGTGCTCTGTGTTCCTTGGACTAAATTTGGGCACAACAGTAAACCAGTGTTTTCCTTCTCTTGATCTTTATCTTATAGCAAAGCCAGAGGCAAGTCAAAAATTGTGTAATTGTTTTATTTGAACATACCCAAGTTTACCACATGTTGGATTTATCCATATCAATTTGCCTGAAGCTCATGAAGGAAAATGAGAAAAAGGAATGGGTGATTCTTTAACTGGTTTTTTATTCCCACTGTGTACAACATTCTTTTTGTGCAGTGATGTCAAAATTAAGAGATTTGAGATGAAACATTTGCTGTTGCTTACAGAATTATGCTGATGTTTCTGTATAGCCTGCTGAATTCACTCTTTCATGATTCAAGCAAATGAAGACCAGTCAAGGGGATATCTGTGAGTACACAGTTCTGTGAAATCTCAGAATTTATTTTCTCGTTGTAGAAATGCATCAGCTACTACTTTCTGTAGAGTTCGCTTTTAGTTTGCAGTCAGGGAAAAGTAAGATCAATTTGTATTCTCTTTTTGTCTTTGGTGAGGAATAACTTTAGCTTTAAAAAGCTGTTGTTAGAGTAGCTAGGTTTTGGTATCTGAACATTATATAAACCGTTACGGCTATATTATGTAGATAATTATAACACCTTTCCCCCCCCCACCTGTAAAGTCATGTCTAAAGTTCTTGCAATAGAGTTCTGGACAGTACAGTAGAAGACTAGATTGTATCTTTCAAACCTGGTTTTGCCTAAATATGTAATACCAGGAATTTAGGCTGCACAAAGATTTGGTTTCTTTGTGATCAGTATCTTGGCAAAGTAAACTTTTTCTTATGGTTGTAGCTGTTGTGTAGTTTGTGGAGTATTTTTACCAATTACACTTACCGTGATTGTATTGAAAACTGGGATTTTTGCATTAGTGTTACAAGAGAATATGAAAATGCTGTGGGTAACAAACTGTTTGCACCGGTCTGGTTTTGACGAGCAGGGTTGGGTTTTTTCCCTCTGATGTTGCTTGTTGAAATGACCACAGGATGGTGCTATATCCTAAATATAGAAAGATTGGTTGACAGAAAGGTGGGTGGTGTGTGTAACAAGTGAAAGTAGGTTCTACTGCCTGCTAATAATACGTATCAGAATGTTATTGCTTATGCATGATTATTTTTTTTAACTCTTTATAAAAAATATTTATGTATGATTATTTTTTACCTCTTTAGAAAAATGTGCTACTGATGAGCTTGCATCAGTAAGAACTGAAACAGCTATATCTAGTGACATGTCTATAAACTCCACGTGTATTTTTGCACAAGGCAAAAAGCATACAGAATAGTTGAACTGAATCACAAGCTTTTAGATAAATTGCAGACATATCACTAATTTCATAAAGGATCAGATTTAATTCCATTAATTGCATTAATCCCTTCAGCAGTTTTGTCTTCACCTCTCCCCAAAATACCACTTCAGCCTTTCTTGCTGGTATTAAGGTAGCTAAGTCAATACCAGCTGTGAATCTGAGTCACGAGAGGACTGCTACTGTGGTTGTCCACCTCATGAATCTGGTTCAGAAAGGCTGGCCACCATGGACTTCAGAGACTGGCTTGATATGGATGTATGAAATGAGTTCAGATGAATCTGACTGCAGAATCCAGGTATTGATGGTTCTACAGAAAGTAAAATTTTTTATTATGCAATGGGTACTTGTATTTTGAATAAAGTAAGATCATCTTAGTAATGGCAAAGAAAACATTAGGAGACTAATTTTATGACACGAAGTACTATAAGATATTATTAATAAAGTTGTAAAAGTTTCAATAACAAAATAAGTATGTGAAGCCATTAAGAGGCACGTGTTTTGTTGTTTTTTTTTGTCTTTTTTTAAAATATGTGGCTCAGATTGATGATTCATATCTCTGGGTATCTTGGAATGAACGTGCATGTTTCCATGAGTATTGTTGCGTGGCTGAAGCTGCTGTAAGGCATGCTAGTAGACTAGTTGGTCTGCTATGAGATCAACTGAAGCAACTTGTCTGCTGTTGTAGATAGCTCTCTTTTTCTAATGCTTATGGTCAACCTCAGTGTGTTTTTCATGTTTGAAAATCCCTCTGTTCTTAATCCACTGAGCCAGGCAATAGCTATTTTTTTAATTCTCAGTTAATTATCCTTATGCACTTGCCTTTTTTGTGGCAAATTTTTCTTTCCTTTAGGTCCTAATATGGAGTCTGTTGTTTATTCTGTTGCCTAAAAATGCAGGTCATGGTTATGGAGATGTGTTAATCTTAGGGGGGCAGAGGGGAGAGGGGAAAGCCAAAGAAAAACAACCACCCACCCCCCCCAAAAAACACACAAACCAAGTTTTTGTGGTAGGGTTTAAAGACATTTGTACCAGTAGTCAAATAGTTTGCTTGTATCTGAGAGGTGGTTAAGATTGGAATTTATTAGAAAGCTGATGTATTTAT